AGAAAGGCAAACAACTATTTCAGATTAAAGGAGACTAAAGAGACATGACAACTAAATGCAATGCATGAGTCTGGACCAGTAAATAAAAGGCAATTCATGGGATAATTGTCATACTATGGATAAAGAATGTGGATTGGATTTATAGAACTAAAGCCATAGGAAATTTCCTGACTTTGAAATTGGGCTGAAGTTATGTAAGAGAATGCCTTTTTCTTAAGAAATAAACACTGAAATATCGAAAGGTAAAGGGCATGGTAGCTGCAGATGATTCACCAGTGCTTCAGAAAACATATCTATTATATTGTATGTACAGATATATATACACAGAGAGAATGATAGAGTGGGAAGTGATAAATAAAGATGTGGCAAAATGTTACCAGTTGGTGAATCGGGGTGAAGGATACATGGGAGCTCTTGGACCATTCTTGTAATTTTTCTGTGAGTTTTAAATTATATAAAAATAAAATGCTTTCTCAAAAAGTATTTCTTTAATGAATGGAGGACAAAAGGATAACCACAGTTAGAAGGTGTTTATGAAGAAGTTAGCAATGGAGATGCTGGTAGAACCTTCAGACAAGAAGTAGTGAAGTTATACCAAGTAGGAAAATATCCAAGCCAGTTTAAGATGTAAATGTGAGGGAGTGGAAGAAATAGAGATGGCTTTGGATTAGGCCAATCTATTTGGAGAGGCAGCTGAATGCAAGGAAAGAAGCCAGAATGAAGGTGCTCAGTGAGGCTAGACATAGTAGCATCCTCATAGGGAAAACTCCTTCAGTTTCTAGAATGGCTACAATTTAGGGCCTACCTGCCTTGAATGCTTATTTTTTTTTTTCCATCCATAAAGTAGTTCAGTAAACTCTTTGACCTTGTCCATCTTTGAGGTTAATTTTTTTAATATTTTATTTTATATTTTTTTAAGATTTTATTTATTTGAGAGAGAAAGAATGAGACAGAGAGAGAGCACGAGGAGGGGAGGGTCAGAGGGAAAAGCAGACACCCTGCTGAGCAGGGAGCCTGATGTGGGACTCAGTCCTGGGACTCCGGGATCATGACCAGAGCTGAAGGCAGTCGCTTAACCAACTGAGCCACCCAGGCGCCCTGATGTTGATTTTTTGAGGTTGTGAATAAAAGAGTAGAAGGTCTACATTTTTACATTACGGGTAAGCTTAAGTCATGTTTGTGTCCTGAAAATGGCAACAACTGAAAATCACTGTAGGCTTTTGTTCTAAATATAACTATGTGAAGATTGCTGATTTTTGTAGAAAATATTAAAAATGTAAAGAGTTCGTTGTTAAGGTCTTTCCTTAAACATATAAATATTAAATATTCAACTAAACCATAGAGTTTTCTATTTGAGTATTATTTAGGTAGAATTCTATTTTACCAAATATAATAAAAAAGTGTAATTCTTTCTGAGAGCCTAAAATGACCTACTTAGAGTATGTATAGTTTCATTGTTTAACTCCTTTTTTCATAGGATTGCTATTTATAACCACTTCCTTCAACCCTGGGGGGACTTAGTAGGATTAATGACTTCTGATTCACTTTGTATTTGAAGATTTTTTTTTTCTTCCATCTTTGCTCAGCTAGTGGAATCCATGATGAATTCTCATCTCCAAGGGGTAAGCTGTTTTTAGTAAAGCCCAGTAGCTGGCCTATGACCCCTTAGAAATAGCATTGATTCCTTCCTGCTCTCATGTTTGTTTCTTTCGGAACAATAGAATCCATGTAGACATGCTCAGTTATCATGCTTTGGTACTGTTAAGCATGTAATGGTTTTAGTTGTGTTCACTTAAGTTATATGTGTAATGTCTACCTGGGCCCCTATCAGAAAAAAAAATAAGCATAAATAGCATTCTGCCTGTTTAGCATGACAAATATAGACCACTACAGCTTGAAGGAGGACATTGGGCTAAAGAAGAGGACTGGGGGTCATTTGAGGATGAGGATTAGAGTAGAAAGAGTGTTCTGGAGAGAGAAGCATCTGGTAAGAACACCAGATGGGGGCAAAGAACACAGTTTCATAGATGGGTATTTTGGAGGTGGGTACTTTAATGATTAGATCTAAGGTGTTCTCCCATCTGTGGGAGGTTATAAAACCAGCTGTCAGGTAAGAGAAATTATAATAGCAAATAGAATATACTCAAAAGAAAACCAAATGAAAAGAAAAAAGTAATCATTCTGTTCACTGCATGTGTGTTCTGTTCATTAGCAAGAAAGTCTTTCAGTCACTGTTTTTATAATATCTTAATAAAAGAAATTTAAATATGCCATATTCAAGTCCTTCCCTTTATTTCTGGAAAGAAAACCAAGGGAGAAAATGCCCATTCCACTCTACTGAGAAACCACTATTTAACGAGTATATTAGTGTCTGATAAATCCCATAGTAATATGTATTATTATTGTACAGTTTCTTTTTAGAAATGAACCTTTGTACGTATTGACCAAAAAGTGGGATAAAGAGTTACGATTTTGTTTTGAAATTCTTTTTTTTTTTTTTAAGATTTTATTTATTTATTTGACAGAGAGAGACACAGCGAGAGAAGGAACACAAGCAGCAGGGGTGGGAGAGGGAGAAGCAGGCTTCCTGCCGAGCAGGGAGCCCAATGCTGGGCTCCATCCCAGGACCCTGGGATCATGACCTGAGCTGAAGGCAAACGCTTAACGACTGAGCCACCCAGGCGCCCCTGTTTTGAAATTCTTTAGAAATGTATAGTTTTATTACAGCTGTGAGTCTCCTTAGGTTTTTAAGGAGGCTGCTTCAAAGGATGTCATTAATAATCTTCTCAGGTGCTTACAAAGCATGTGTCTGTCAGCAGAATTAGAGAATCACCCAACTAGAGAACAGGTTTCACAATACCCTGAGACCTATTTTGTTCATTAGAGAGGAAAATGGCTTATGTTAAGTCTAAATTGACGTGCTTGCTAATTTCAGCAGTAAAAGCTGTTCATTGTGGTCAGGTTTAATTTAGATTAAAGTTGATCAGGTTACTTCTACAACATACTTCTTAAACGAACTTTGTGATCCTAAAAGAAGGAGAAAAGTAAAGCCAACATTGAGAAATATATCCAGAAGAGAAAAGCGAATAGCTTGGGTGTTTGAGGGTGAATTAATATTAAATCAAATGAAAATAATGATAAAGATAATTCTTGTTATATAAAAATCTCCAAGTATCAAAAACACACATTTGCATTTAAATTACACAAAGCATACCTAATCCATTCGTCCACTGTTAAACCCATAGTGCCTAGAACAATACGCAGCCCTTGAGATATACAAAATGAAAGAATGAATGAGTAAATGAATGAATTTTTGTACTTTGCTACCTCAGTTATGTAGAGTTTCTGGTTAAATTTGAAGGAAATATTTGACTTTATCTGAGGGTTCTGGTTAAGTCTGTTTTTTAAAAAAGTCTCTTGACTGTATTAAATATTTAAGAGTCAGGAATTCCAAAGTAACTTTTAAGCTTGCTGTGTCACAGATGACCAGAGTTTAACATTCTAACCCTGGAAAACATCTTATTTCATAAAATCTATCTACTAGTATATGGTTCCCATTTTAAAATTTGTTCAGTACTCTCCAACCGACTTATGCCACTCACTTCAATAGCTGTCTTTGGCAATTTGTTCCATATTTCAAACACCCTTTTGTGTAAAGAAACCATAAAAGTTAGAAACCTGAAAATTGGATTTTTCTTCTGAGCAATCACAGCTTATAAATGTGGAAAATTGGTTAAAAGTTAGCCCCTCCAGTTTTTCAATACAGAGAGGGGAAAATACTCAAAATAGATATGTAATGTTTGGATAAGTTCTTGCCATTATTTTAATACTACCAAAAGCAACTGAGCTGAAATCACAAGGCCTATCTCCCTACCTGTTCACGAAAGAAACACTGCAAGATGTTCAAAATTTGGCCTTTCTCAACCCAAAAATCTTCAGAAAATTAGCAGTTGTCAAAGAGCATAGTAGATAACTAAGTTTCAGGAACACTACTGTCTACCCCATTTCATCCCTTCACATTCACTGGCCTCATGAGATAATGGAAACGGCATCAGATATAAGACCATAAAGACTTCTAGCTTAGTTATTAGTGTGGTTATTAGGAGAATAAAAATGAGAAAATGTGTGTAGGGGTTATAAACTAAGAACAAATGTTCATTATGTTTTCCGAAATTGAAATAAAATGTATTCCATTTTAGAACGAAAACGAGGGAGAGATCTTATTTTTCACAAGCTTCTTTGTAAATATTGCTGGGATATGGGCCCTTTAATGTAGAGAAAGTAAGGTGACAGAGACAATAGATGGACACTGGAGGGAGGGAGGGGTTTCTTAATAATTAACATTGTCACCTGTAAATAAATAAATAAATATTTCTTGGCTTTATTCTGTTGGTACTTTTATCTTAATGCAGTATTAAATTAAAGTCATCTGTAAGAATACTAATACTAATACTTCCTTTGGGGAAGGACTGACTTGGCTCATCTGCCTCACCCTCTCATTTCATAGGTGAGGAATCTGAGGTACAAAGAAGTTCAATAAGTTACCTCTCTTAAATCACTTCCATGCTTCTCCTGTTGCTAAAATATACACCTGACTGTTGACACCACACAAAATGAGATTACAAGTATAAATAGCTATCTTTTCTAAATACATTGTCATAATTCAAAATTGCATTTCTTACTTGTGGCACTCGTACATTGGTTTAACTAACCCCAGGAACTCTAAAACGACTCCATCTAAGCTCTTAAATAGTGAAGCAGATCTGTAATCAAGATTTTCATTTGAAATATTTTTGGTATCTAAGAATGAAACACATTTCTTGTTGAATTGTTCTCTGTAAAGCCTTACACATTAGAGATTTATATCCAGTAACATCTTTTTTTTTATTATTTCCAAAAGTGCTTTGGTTGGTTTGAAAATTGCACTTTACTTTGTATCACATAAAAGGAATGCACAGTGCTGGAGAACCTCAATATTAAGTTGTATTTTTTTCCTTCAGGCGACGCTGCAGGATTTGGAACAGAGGCGCCCCCAGTTGGAAGAACTCATTACCGCTGCCCAGAATTTGAAAAACAAGACCAGCAATCAAGAGGCTAGAACAGTCATTACTGATCGAAGTAAGTCTTTTAACAAGCCTATGAAACTTAAGGAAAGATGTATGAAAAGTTTCAATAATGACTTGTTGATTTACCTCCGTTGCATTCATGAAAATGACGCCAAATCATTGTAAATTATAACTCTTGTACTAAGATTTTTCAGTCCATAATGTTATCTTTCCATAACTGAATGTAATTCCATGGAAGAGAGGAAAGAAATTTTTCATCAATCTAGGCTTCTGTAGATGCAAAGCATGGAGCCGCGGGTGTGGTGAGCATGGTGTGGCAGAACATTTGCTCCTCGCTTGTCGTCTCTCTGGGCTAGCGTCCATGGGGATGTCAGCCTCTTCCTCATATTCTTGGTTATTGGTCCCAGCAATTGCTTCCTGGACCATCTTTCATACCTGGACATCCTTCTGCTACTGTGGCGCCCTCAGTGTGTAATAGCAGAAATCAGTGTACTGTTCCTTCTGCCATACTGGAGTGGGTGGGAGTCTTGGGAGCCTCTTGAAGGCCCATCTGCTTAGACATTGCATCTACTCTTCTTTACACAGAGTGATTCAGAGTGCCTGTGCATAGGGTCAGGAAAAGGAGTAGAGGAAGCAGAAGGGGAAACTACTCTCCTTCTGTTTCCCTCAGAGGCTCTTCTCAGGAATGAGGCCTAGCTCACCGCTGCTCTCTGATTCTCATGCATCTCCCCAGGTTTCCTCCCTTCCCTCTCCCTACCTCCCCTTCAGGGACACACATCAATACTGATTTTTTTTTTTTTTACGTCCCCATGCCCCCTCTCATCCCTTCTCACAACCAGAGGAATTTTTTTCTAGTGTGGGAGTAGGAAAATCCTTCATTTCATCATCTTTTTTTTTTTTCCTTCCAAATCTTTTGTCTTTTTCTAGGCCTAGGCTTTTGAACCTCAAAAACCAAGAATCTATGTCTTCATGATTTACATTCTCTTGTGTTAACACTTGCCTCAGGAAGTATAAGCAGAATGCTTTGCAGCCAGGATGCTGGGGGAGCGGAAAGAGTAACCAATATAAAGCGTTAATATATGAAAAATATTATTGGTCATATTTGTATCTATTAGGTAAATAGTGATAATAGCTACTATTCATTGAGTTCCTCTTAGGTAGCAGATAGTAGGTCTTGTGTGTGTGGGCATGTGTACAAAATCTTTATAATATCTTGTGAGGTAAATTTCATAATCCCTCATTTTATTGATGAGGAAACAGATTCTGAGAAAGGTTAATCAAATTGCTCAAGTTTACAAAACAAGCAAAGACCAGAGCTTGCAATTTGCAAATGTTTCTTTCTGGCTTGAAAGTCTGTGTTCCTTCTAGAATGTTTACCATGTCCCATCCTGTTTTATTGTTTTTCTTAATGACCTTAATCACTAGGACTAGGATTAAATAATTTTTTGGTCTGCAAATTATGTACGTTTTGATTCACTTCCTAAAGACATTCCTCTTAACAGTTGTCCTGATTGTTAATTAAAATAGACTTTTCTTGATTTTGAAATTTTAACTATTGTTGCTCAAACAATGTATTTGAATATATACTAACGTATTAGTTGGGTAGCACTAGCCACTATATGTCAGATCCCAAGTCTTAGTGGCTTACCATGGTATAAGTTTACTTTTTTTCTGGTGCAGTCCAAAATAAGCAGTTCTCTATGAAGTCATTCAGGGACCCAAGCCCCTTCCATCTTTTGTGTCCAGATCATCTGGGTCCTATGCATTTAATGGGTGGATGAGGAATAAACATTGTTCATTGGAATTTATTATGAGACAGGCCTGGAAGTGGTACATATAAATTCTGTTCATAGTCTGTTGGCTGGAACTTGTCACATGACCACATTTAATTGCAAGGGAAACTGCAAAATATTGTCCAGTGTTGAGCCTGGGAAGGAGAGAAACTAGTTTGGTAAGAAGCTCATCATTCTCTTCCATAGCTAATTTGGACAGGAAGAATACACTTAAGTTGTAGAGTTCTGTGTAAGTTATAAAATGTCATTTGTATAACCAGCAAGGCAAGAGCAAATTCACCTTGTAATGATCAACATAGATAGCTCATCAGTTGATGTGGTAGAATGTTCATCCCTCAAACTGGAACCATGAGGCTTCTTCATCAGTTTGCAACATACTGGTCCAAAAGAATGAAGTTTAGTGAGTGATTTACTCAGTATGAGACTGAATTCCCATTACACAGTTAAGTGATCTGTTTCTTGCCTGAGAAATATGGAAATTTGGCAAAAATGTTTATGCAAATCTGAACACACTATATAGAAAGTCATTTGTCATTTTACTAATGAAAAATAGCTTCTATTTTTTCCCTAAGAGGAAAATAACACTAATTTATTTTATACTATCCATTCAACATTGTCTAAACATTTTCCATTATCCCTTGCAATCTTTTTTTTTTTTTGATACTGTATTGACTTTTTTTTGTGATATAGATTAAAATTGAGTGACTGGAGGGCAGATTTTTATCTCTCTGCTAATATCTAGTAATTTGAACAGTTCTGTTTTTCTAAGCTTTTGTCTTTTAGGAATGAATACCTTTATGAATATTTGTAGTACTGTGGAAAGATTCCAATCCATGTGGTCCAAAACGAAAAAAACATTTTCTTAAAAGCCAAGGGTCTGTTGAGACATGCCATGCTCCTTATTAAGAGCTTAAGCCAGAATCTTTGTTCCAAATAATGCCCGGAGCCTCTAATGCTGCTACCAGGATAATTCTGACAAGATATGTTTATCTAAACAATGTCATTTGCAGCCCTGCTGTGCTTCAGTTTATCTCTCCATTTGAAATCTATGAAATGGGATGGATATTGAATACTCATAAAGTTTCGATCGTGTTCAAAATAGAATTTTCCTTAGTATAGATCTGGCTTTCAGGGAATGAGCAGAAATAAAATACATGCTCATAAAATTGTATTTTCTTATTTGAAGATTTGAGTATTCCTTTTTTATTGCCCTGAAACTTCGAGAAATACTTAAAAAGGAATCAGCTAAATAAAGAAAAATATTCAGTAAGAGTATAATGCTATATTGAAACATTTTTCCTTCCTTGTTAAGTCCCAGTTCATAACTTCGAACAGTTGGGGAAATCTATATATACTTATTACATTCTATCAAGAGAAAAGTCCAGTACAAAGCAATTCCTCTCTACTAGTAATATCCGTGCTAAAATCTCAAGTAATTGGTCTGCAAAATACCAACGTGTTTCACTGTATAAAACAATTTCCATGGTATCTGTTGTTTTCAGGTGATTGTATTGATGGAAATCATGTGGCAATAATCTAGGTGAGAGGAAAAATATCACTCTAAGTGCATTCAAATAAGAAATTCTCCTTGCTGTTTCTGATGTTCAAACTGTTCATTTTCCTTCAATTCTTTGGTTGCTGAACGTGTCAGCCATTCCTGGTCATTTTCTCCTACAAAAGGGCTAGCTAGGTCAGGGGACCAAAACCAGGTAAGAATGAAAGGATCTCAAATTGCTAGTGGTAGGCTTCTGAACTATGCAAAACTCTTGTTCATGCCCATTACTACGGCAGATCATAATACCATAATACCTCATATAGCGGTGAGCAGGATATGGAAAAAAAGAGCTCCTCTCTCTTATCGGTCCATTTATTCCACAAATACTATTGGTGAACATGGCTCATCTGACATTTGTATTTTAGAGCCTTGCTTCTGTAGCTTCTCCTGCTACATAACCCCCACCATTACCATTTTAAAGATCTATAACAACAGCACGTACAGGTTTTGAGGGCAAGCTGCCTGGGCTGGCTTCTTAGTAGTAGCTTTGTGGCCCTGAACAAACAGCTAATCTCAGTAAACTATCTGATCTTGGTCACCACCTCTATAAAATAAGATTACTTGTATCTACCTCAAGGTTGCGAGAATTAGATGAGATAATACACGAGGAGCACTTAGATCCAAGCCACAGTAAGAGCTGAGTAAATGCTAGCTCTTGTTATTTTAAGTATGATCTAATTGGGTTGTTTGAATGCTTAGTGGGAAAGCATTTAATAAGCTCTTTGGTAGCTGCCTGGTTCTCATACTACAAAGAAGACAAGAGAGAAGTTCAAAAAAACCAAAAGGAGAAGGTTGCTTTGGAACACATGGAATAACATATATAAAAAGAATTAAACAAATATGTGAGTGGTACTATAAAAAAGCAAGGCAATTCATGTAAGTTATTTTGTTCTCAATATTTACTATGACCTTAGGAGGGTAGATATTATTTTTCTCACTTTAAAGATTGAAACATTGAAGCTCAGTGAGCTCAAATAATGTGCCTAGGGTTGTAGTAAGATGGCAAGTGAGGGACTAGGATTTAAAATTATGTCTGTATGATTCTAAAGCCCAAGGTACATCAAAGGAAAAGCATTGGTTAGTCAAGAAAAAAAGAAAGAAGGAAGGAAGGAAGGAAGGAAGGAAGGAAGGGTATTCATTTGAGAACCGAAAATATTAGGAGAAACCTCAGTTTACTATAATCTGGATATAATTTTTACTGCTCCCATTTATATTGTTGTCTTCTATGCATTTGGGTGTGTTATCATAGGATTGTCTCTTACGTGTGTTGGAAATGTATAGGATGGCGAACCTCTGTAATCTACTAGCTGGCAACCTTGGCCAAGTGGAATCACTTCTCTAAGCCATGGTTCCCTCATCTGTGACGTGGGGGTAATAATACATAAGCCAGTATAGTGATTATGGAGATAAAATTAGGTGAGATTTCAAGTCAATCAGAGAAAGACATGTATCATATGACCTCACTGATATGAGGAATTCTTAATCTCAGGAAACAAACTGAGGGTTGCTGGAGTGGGGGGGGGGGGGAGGGATGGGGTGGCTGGGTGATAGACATTGGGGAGGGTATGTGTTATGGTGAGTGCTGTGAATTGTGCACGACTGTTGAATCACAGACCTGTACCTCTGAAACAAATAATGCATTGTATGTTAAAAAAAAAAGAAGAAGAAGATAGCAGGAGGGGAAGAATGAAGGGGGGGAAATCG